GCATTTTGTAACAGATGTTCACAATGTTTTATAAAGTCACAGCATGCCTTCCTACCATTTGGAATTGAACTAGATGAAATCGGATTGATGCAGGCAATTCTTAGGTGCGGCATTGTGTTATGAATTTCTTGGGGCACTCTCAGAGTGTGACTTTTCAACTTTTGAGACCATTTTGTGGATTTTCCCATAATTTTTTACAAACTCATAGCATATACTCTCTCCATAGTGATATACAAAAAAGAGGGTATAGGGAGATGCAGTCTGGCCTGAGTGACTCTCAGGAGATACTAACTTCTGTTGATTGTCCTGAATATTGCCTGGGGCCCACATAAAATTGATTCATACAAATCAGCAAGTCCTGCTTTCCACATTAGTCAGTCCTCAGTTTTCAGTGCAGAATAGTTGCCATGGCATAGGATTCAATTAGGACAACCAGGAAAACCTGGCTATTAGGCATTCAATCCAACACTTCCAAAATATTATTCACTCAACCACCATTTCCTTTTTCTAGTCCTTCAAGTTCATGCAGATCAGATAATTGTGTCATCAACATAAGGGACATGTTTCCATAACATTAACACATTCGCTGCCAATCACGGCAATAGCTGTTTTCATGAAGTCATTTTCCCAGCACCAATGATGGTTAGAGCCACCCAAATGCCTGACAGTGAATGTGTTAAGGACCAGTCAGACCTTTGAGGCATTCCTTGCCTTGACTGTAGTTGATCCCTTGTTCCATTGAGGTATTCATTGCTATGGCTGAAATCAACCAGAAGACAAAACTAGCAAAGAGGAATCTGTTATTCATGTAACCATCCTCTTCTCCCATTCCTGATATTTTGCAAGTTTTTCTTGTATGGCTTCATTCTGTGATCTTAAAACTTTCCTGTATTCTGATGAGGCACCATTAGGAATTCCTGTTTTACATTTCATTTGCAAATTCCTTATGGGTAATGCTTTAGGGTGATTAGTACAGGATCCCCCACCCTCATTGGCACAAGAGTATTTAATGAGTTTTCTCTGCAAAGAATCATCCTGAACTTTGCTTAATTTCATTGTCCCTCTTTGTTCCATATTGATAACTGCTTCTTTCATCTCTTACAGAACAGCTTTGTGTACCAATCTAATAATGGTAAGAAGTTCTTTGTGTCTCTTCATCTCTTATTAGTTCCAAGTTCTTTACAACTGCCTATTTTCCATTTCTTTTAGAACAAGAAGAGCATCTGCCTTTGCCCAGAAAAGTAATTTGATTTTTCTTATTCCTCTAATTTTTGGGCTTTTCAGACATTCTGAGCATCATATTCCATTTTTCCTTTAGGGTTTTTCGTCATCCTCCTTGAAATGACTTGGGACAACATTCCATGAGCCAGTGTTGTTTTATGAGCCAGTCTGCATTTCTGAAGAAGCAGGTTTCTCAAAGACAAATCATCTTGCTCAAGCATCATCAGTTGCAAATTTGCCCACCCTTGCCAGTGTCTTTTATGTGATACCTACCTTGCACAAGCATTGGCAACCTTTCATTTTCATTCATTTGTACTTAATTCATGTGCAACTTCCTCTGAAGCCTATGCCCCTTGGCATGATAAAAGTGCCTTTCATTTCATCTTCCAAGTTTTCATGGCTTTCATTTCTGTCATCATTGCCAGTGTGTCTCAGGGTAAAGTATTCCTCTCAACATGCCAGTAATGAAAGAGGTTCTTTGTCTATGAAGTTAGGTCTCAGGCATAGGTACTTTTTGAACTGAATCCTGTTCTAATTATTGCACTTTTGAGGCACCTATTTTTCATTGGTGGTTGGTTTGAATCTGACTCTAGTCTTCCTTGCCTAACATTCCCAATATTGAACTTGGATGGTATGACCTGATGGCAACAGGACTCTATTATGTCAGAGCATGACTGAATTGTGTTAAGTTTATTAGTTAGAAACTATGTTCAGGAATTTGTCAGTGTCACATACAGAATAGAATATGTGAAAAAAATTGATTGCTCCTGAGGGCATTTACAGTAGCTTCTTTTTTTTTCCCTTTCATTGCCCTAAATCACTGAAAGTGATCATAATAAAAGTGATTTGCATTATGCATTCATCATATGCATTTGTGGAAGGGCATTTGCCCTGATGTACTTGTACAAATTACAGCTCTCAAGGAGACACAGGCCCACAGACATCATTGCAATATGTTTATCACATTGATATCAGTCCCATTCATCTTTTAGCTGTTACCCTTTGGAGAATCCTGCAGGAGTATGCAAATTTTGTGTATTAAGTCCAAAAGAAGGTGAGTAGAGCTTTCAAACAATATCCATAGCAATGAGAGGTAAAAGAGAGGACCACTCAGGACACAGGAGGGCTTAATTTTTTTATTTTAAGGTATATTAATACCTGTTATTCTAATTTTTGTCAAGCTGAATATATCCTATCTACCTTTTTTGTGCCATGATGGAGAATGGAGAATCTTGGCAGTGTATGGGCTTTAAATGAAAAATAAAGGCTATATATGTAATTGGCATGCTATGGTATTACTCTTGTTACACATCTTTAAATGCCTATTACAGGAATATAATATCTCTTGATCTCTTGCAAAATATCCTTATTGTTTAAAAAGATCTTCTCTATTTTAAATGTTCTATATTTTGCCTTATTCATGGCTTATTACTTTCCTATAAATGTGTTTTTAATGTACTTTCATTAGTTTTCATAGTGTTGCATTCCTGAGATTCTTTTCTTTATCTGTAATCATGCTGTTGCAAGAAGTGCTTCACTTGGTGCTCTTGAATGATTAAATTATGCTCAAAATACTCTTGGAATAAATGGTGCTTTGGTGCTATTCATGGAGTTGATAATTTGGTTGTCCATGAACTCTTGTTGCCATGATATATCTCTTGAGGAAACTTTGTTCTTATATAAACTTTGTTCTTTGTTCTTATTCTTATATGTCTCACCTTCTGTACATTGCAGAAGAGTGCCACTGAGTGGCTGATATGAGATTTAAGATATATGAAGCTGGTAGGCATTTGAAATGAGAAAACAGCATATGCATTTGTAAAGTCCTCTAATGCATACACATCACTTGGTATTCTCCTCAGGTATGCATGTTCATCATATACCAGTCTTGATGGACACATTTTCTTAATGTTGCCATTCTTGAGCAATGGATGAGATTTTAAGTTTAAAATGCTAGGCTAGTTCAATTAAGTACCATCAATTGGTTGTGTTTACATGGGATATGATAGAGGACTCTTCTGGAAAGGTGCATTCTAAAGTCTAGCAAACATACCAAATTAATAATTGAAATCAGCACAAACATGACATCCAGACATGTTTTGTCTGGATAACATTAGTGTAAATGCAAGATTGAGTAAAATACTCAATTGGTTCACCCTCCTTAGTGTTCTTTTTTTTACTACAATGTACTATGTACTACAATGTTTCTTACTACTCTAGCCTTCTTTTTTTCTCTGCCCAACACCTTTTCCAGTCTTGATAATGTTTCTTTGGCCAAAGTTGTCTTTCATGACACACATGTATGCAATGCATTTATAACCAGTCTTATTAGCTGGAAATACCTATATATATAATACGTTAATGTAATTTTGACCTTACCCAAAGAAGTATCTCAAAAAGTTCAGCCCTAAAATGACCTGCAGGTCGGGTCGGTTCGGGGTGAACAAGTCAGGCCACAGTCCACATAAGACTCTAACTCCTGGTTCCTCCAGTAGTGAAAACAACTGCAATTTTACCTATGAAACATTTTGAACTCTTCTTTACTCCCTGGAAAGTCATATTATTATTGGCAGCACATGTAAAAATAGCATGTTTACAATAACGTGTGCATTTGTGTAGGTAGTAGCATGTTTTTTTGCATGAAAAAATCATTAATTCACCGTTCAATGGAAACTTCAAGTAAATATGCAAACTAGACCATGCAAAAAGACAAATTATGGCATCAACAGTGACATCCGGAATAAAGAAGAAGAGCAAATAATTACACAATGGTATTCAACAGTCTCACTCCAGCTGGGCTTGTTCACCATAAATGAGTTTTGAAGCATGGTTTAATTGCCATGCTCATCAGAAACCTAAAGGGTGAGGAAGGCCTGGCTAACAGAGTTTGAGCCTTAGTTGTGCAACATGAGAACCATTGGACTTATTTGTATTTGGACATGGAGACATTGACTGGCAAAGCTAAAGGACAAAGAGTGTTGCTTCCATATTTTGACTTGGTTCCATCAGACTTGACTATGCCTCTCACGATCAAATAGCAACTGTTTCCAATCTGTGATGCTTTAGCCATGACAATCATCAAGAGTCAAGGACAAAAATTCAAATGAATTGGATTGTACATTCTTGGACCTGTATTTTCCCGTAAACAATAGCATTTAGCTTTCTCAAATGTACAGCACTTGCAAAATGTTAAGGTGCCAAATGTTAAAAGATAAGGCCTGGACTCCGATAAGGCTGATACCCAGGCAACGATGCCACCTATACACTGAATGTTGTGTTCTGAGTAGTTTTGAACTAAAAATAATGTATAGTTTCTTAAAGTCAATTTCTGAAATTCACATGAAATAATAATTTTACGTACTCTTCAATGAAAATCAAGAAACACAATTTCTATAGCTACTGTTCTATGGTGGAGCTCAAAACATTTCTCTTCTAATATCCTTCAGGATATTAAGTATTTTTGGTAAAATCTGCAAATTGCTACTTTGTCATTCCACGTAATTTGCATGGGGCTCTGCTAGTATTGAACATAATATAGACAGGACCTTCCACCCCAAGACTGCCTTGGGGTAAACACTAAGGAGGTTAACCCATGGACTTTACCTGAGAGATATATCATGTCCAAGACTGTTCTCCTTTTAAAGCTTTCCATCTCAATATCATTGCCAAAAGGACAACATTAAAAATTCAGGCATAGTTTGAAAAAAAATTCAAAATTCTTTTTTTTTTTTTCATTGATGGAGAAGTAAATCCCATCTTTTTTTGCTCCTGATGCTTTAGTTTATTCACAGTTCTAAGCTTCAGTTTCTCATGCATTCTATTTGCATTATGCATGGGCATAAAAAGGAAGTTTTGCCAAGGAGGACCCTGAGGTACAAGTTAGGATTCATCTGAAGGAGGGAGGAGTTCCATTCTGCCCATTCTTGTGAAGACTGTGACAGTTTCTTTCATTAGGCCTTATGCATTTTGGATTTCAGTGAAAGCAGCAGGGTTCAAGAAAGTGTTCAGTTTCAGACCTGGAATCAGGAACAAATGGTTGATATATCGATGATCAATCAATGATATATACCTGCATCCCTAATTCCAGACTCTCTTGCAAGAAATTGTTCAAGGGAAGTGCAAGATTTTGACAACCATATGCTTTCTTCTGAAATAGTATTGATGTAATCATTGTACTAAGAATAAATTTATTTGTGAGTCTTCCATCAAATTACTGAAGAGGTGAAATGCTTGGATTAAGTTTTGAGTCTTGATATTAATTATGACATGTTGAAATCTGCAGAGAAAATTGTGAGAGGGTCATAGTCCAGAATGGCAGGAAGAAGGTTGTCAGCTCTACGGCAGTTGATGTCAGAGAAGGGACTGCAAGCATACATCATCCCCTCTGGAGATGCTCATCAAGTGAGTCTGCTTTCATTGCACAGGGTGTTCCACAATTACGGACCTAGGAACAGTCTGGGAAATAAGTCTGAAAACTATTTCTACTTTAAAAAGCATATGCTTGAACAATTTTTTACATTGGAGATTGTGCTTCTAATATGGTAGTCTATATGTTTCAATCTATTTTTTTTTTTCACAAAGTAGGGGTTGAAATGTGATGTCAGCAACCAGAATTGTGTCTGGACAGATGTAGGATTTTGAAAAGAACTTAAAAGGAGATATTTCATGCATGGGGTAACACAAGGCAACATGCTAACACAAGATATCTCAGGCATGGATGTCAACAGGTTAACCCTTTCATGCATGATGTCTACTGAAGTGGACACCTACAATTTTGGTTCTGATGTTGCTTTTTTAGCCTTGGTGCATATGTATCAAGTGTTGCCTCCTAATGGTGGAACATGGGACTACTACAGCAGAGTACCACCTTGAATATTAAGCCAAAAAAGCATGTTTTTGTTTTGCTTTAAAAATTCATGCACAAAAGGATTAAGAATGAAGCTAGGCAGACTCAGAGGCCCTGGTAAATGAAGTTGATGAAACTTCAAGTATGTAGTTGAGCACCAACATGAGTGATGAGACTTAAATATTATATTGGAAAGGGTAATTCTGTGCTTTAATTCTCTGTTAAGTGCATTTTCACCCCTTGTAATATCCCTTTCACATATGAATTTTCCGAGCAAAATAAAAATATACCTTTTTTGGCTTAACGTTTAAGGAGGTACTCTGTCATAGTAGTCGCATGTTTCACTGCTAGAAAGCAACACTGAAGAGATTATGTGCTCCTGAGTTGATTGCATACCCAAAAAGTTTCAAGGTATGTGTACCATGACTAAAAAAACCATCATCTTTGCCAAAAATGTTGCTGTCCACTATAGTGGACACCATGCGTGAAAGGGATATTATTGGGGAGCTTGAGTTAGATGAGAGTTATGTAGAATTTCCTGTTGAGTTGTGTTTTGACTTTCTGAACATCATGGTTTGCAGAGTGAATATGTAAGTGACCATGATAAAAGGAGAGGATTCATCTCCAATTTTATGGGCTCAGCGGGAACTGCTGTTGTGACTGAAACTAGTGCCATGCTATGGACTGATTCAAGGTATTTTCTGCAAGCTCAGAATGAATTGGACAGCAATTGGACCTTGATGAAAGAAGGTGACTATCTCAGAGTTTATTATATCTGATCCCTGTTCCAGAAGCCCACAGTCCTACAGTTTAGTCCTTATTCTGCACTGATAGGAATGCCTTCTGTGCCAACCATAGAAGTCTGGTTGTCTAAGAATATCAAGAGCAAGGGGCAAGTTGGTGTTGATCCATGGTTAATTTCCTCTGCAACTTGGGATATCTTTGAGGCAGTACTACGACCTTGTGGTGTTTCTCTTGTGCCAACTCAACCAAACCTGATTGATCTCATTTGGCCAGGTGAAGAAAGGTCTGCTTCACCCAAGAATCCAGTGTTTGTTCATGAATTGAAGTACTCAGGTGAGGAATCTATGCTCCAAAATATACTCTTTCAGCATCATCGAAACTTTCTGCAATTTCTTTTTCCTTGGGTCTTCAGGGAAATCATGCATAGAGAAGCTGGAGATGGTAGCAAAAGAATTGTCAGAGAGAGGAGCAAGCTTTCTGGTCATCACAGCTCTGGATGAAGTAGCATGTATGAACACCAAATATGAATACAGGGTGACCATGGATTTTGCACTTCAACAATTTCAATGCAATTTTTTTGGAAGTCAAGTTGATATCTTGGACAGATATGTGAGCTGGACTAGTTTGTTACATGTGAGTGCCTTCAGGATCAGTGAAGAATTTCAGCATGGGTAACTTCATTTTCAACTCAGGTCTCAAATTGCCTCTCAGCAAGTATGTTGGTATTGGGGATGTGATGGATGGTAGCATGCCTGATTGTGTTTCCAGGGGATGCTATATGAAGGGTTGAAAGGTAAAGTGGTCTATCTGCAAAAAATTGCCATAAAAGTTTTTTTGGTTTTGTGCTTCTAGAACATTGTTCCTTTCATAGGAAATTATCCTTTTTTGGAACTTAGTAAAGGATGAAGTGATCTATCGATATGTACCACTTTTCTCACTTTTAACATGACCCTCACTGGAATATTCAATCAATTCATGTGGAGCTCCAGGAAATAATTTTTTGCAGGTAGACCACTTTGCCCTTCAGCCCTTCATATAACTTGTTTCTTCAAACTCTTGAAGATTGTGAAATGCTCTTTGTTTTAACCTTGGTTCAAAAAAGACAGTACACCTTTGCATTCTGGATGTTGTTGAACTAAGTGTCTCCTGCAGATGGATTGGACATTTTGGCTTGACCACTTCACTAGCCAGGTCTCTGGACCTTATGGAATAGGACATCAGATGTGTATGGGAGGATAAGAAATCCAATGTGTTTTGCAACAAAACCCAGAAATGTCCAGGATTTGGAGTAATGCATCAGGGAGAGTATCAGGGAAATTTTCATCTATCACATCCTAAATATCATCATTACTACTAAGGAGCAGTAGGAGACCTGCAAAAAAATATTCTTCTGGCATACCTGGTGATGGTATCAACTTCCAAAAAAATGTGTGTTGAGATTATGGAAATGAAAAAATTCAGCAGTAAATGTGTGGTCACCCTGTATTTCTTCAACATTTTCCATTTGTGTTAGTGTGAGTTTAAGCTATGCAAGGGATAGTTTAGCAATGGCTAGAATTAATTGGTTCATGTACAGTGATTTCAAATTGGTTTCACATGCTGGTGTCTCACTTGCTCTAGGAATTCTATAATAGAAGTTATAATTTAATTGGACTTCTATGTTTTGTTTTGTTTTTTTGCTCCTGGAATGATGAAGAGTCATGAACCTTCCTGATATTTTGGATTATGAGATGGCCTTACTTAGTAGCTACTAACAGCTTTTACCCCACTTGCAGATAGAGGATTTTCAGGCAAAAACTGCCTCTGAATCTGATTGGAAAGAGCCTATTGTCAAGTAAATCTAAGCTGTTGACAGAAAAAAAAAAATAGAAAGGTAATAATACTTTCATTAGTATTTATATTTCCAGGATTCAAATTTTCATTGCATTGCCATTTAGGGATCCTGAACCTCCGTGGAAGTGACATCCCCTACAATCCAGTGTTCTTTGCATATGCCATACTTAAAGCTGATCCTCTCAATTTACAAGTTTTCATGGATGAGACAAAACTCTCAGAAGAAACCAAGGGGAGCTTCCCAAAGAATGTGCTGTTCTTCCCATATGAACTATTCCCTGATCATCTGCAGAAAATAGTAAGACTATTTCTGGTTGCATATATGAATCAGTATATGCCATTATTGGAGGAACTCATCAGAATCTGTACAGGCCTTTGGTGGGTCTCCTATCTGGGTATCAAGAAGCTCCTCTCAAGCTGTGATATCTGCAGTACCTTTTGGCCAGAGAATCATGGATTATTCACCTGTTGCCTGCCTGAAACTTGCCAAAAATCCCACTGAAATCCAAGGTATTGCACTATAATAACCATGTATTGATCATGCATTTGTTAGCATTTTAAAAAGCCTCCTGGAAGTGTTCTCACATGTCTGGAGCAATATCAGGAACAGGTGACCATGATCTTGCTGAGACATTTTAGTTCCAGCCCCAGACTTCTGATGCATGCACTTCTAGATTTTTGTGATCAGTGGTCTGCAGTAAAGCCATTCATGAGACTTTTTAAAGAAGGAGTTTTCATATAAGGTCATTTTGGGTGTGATCAGTCTCCTTTTTTGGTACGCAGGTACCATATGTGATCAACAAAGTATGTGTTAACCTTTATCAGATGAATGTCACAACTGCTGTGCCACAGAATGCATTTTTCCATGGCCTAAAGGTACAAATGCTGTACTGCAACTTTTTGGGAAAATGCTCTAGTATTAAGTGAATAAATGCTCAGTTAGCAAGTGTTTATGAGCTTTGTGGAAAATATCTGGCTGTCAGCACTTACATGGGAGATTTAAATTCATCCAATAAAGTACTCAGTGATGCCAATCCTGCCTTGTTTATCCAGCAAAATTCCACTGTGAGATATTTCACAGGATAAAGTGCTCACTTTTAACTTGCACTTAATTTAGCATGCTTCTTTCAACTATCACTGAATGATTGTTAGCATCCATAGCATGGATGGAAAATGTGGGGGACCCAGGACAAAGTGGGGGGGGGGGGGGGGGGGGAACTAAAACCCTAGGACACTGTTCTCAGGCCTATCATTCATGGTATCTTATAATGCATTAATGGACAGCAGTGGCGTTCCCAGAAGTTTTGCGGGGGGGGGGGGAGGAACTAGAACCCTAGGACACTGTTCTCAGGCATATCATGCTACTTTTCCTTCTTACTTTTGCTTCTTTTTCTGAAAAGTACATGCTCCCCTTGACCACCCCAACACTACGTCACTGATTGATTGCTAGAGCTGAATCCACTTCTGGTATCTTGACAAAGTAAATTTCATGGTCTGTCAAGCTAGTCCTTATTGGAGTTGTATTCCTATTGAACATGGGCAAAGCAAGGTTTATCACTCTTTCCCTGTAAAATCTGTGTTCATTCATAATGTAATCTTTTGTCCAGTTTTCAAGTCTTATTCATATGTAGGCTGAAGGGCTTCACTCAGAGACTAATAATCAACTCTGTTCCTGTACCTGAAGCTGAAGCCACTCTCTCATGGTTGAAGTTCCCTGTCTCATTTACATGTTATGTATCAGCATCTACCCAATTAATACCTTGAATTGTCTATGAACCTCCCCAATAATATGCATGACTAGCATGGATGTTAGATTAGGTCAGCTAAGATACTTTATTTGATCATGACAGGGATGAGAGATTGCCATGTAAGAGATGGTGCTGCATTATGCTCTTTATTGGCTTGGCTGGAGCATAGACTGCTGCAGAATGAGAGCACCTCGGAGCTCGAAGTTGTCAAGCATCTGGAGAAAATACACAGGTATGGGTTGATCATAAACCTGCATCTTCATTAATGCTCCATCAAATATGATGTCAATACCATGGATGGAATTTTCTTTTTCGTCCACTGTTTTATTTGAAAAAGCATATGCTGCAGCCTCTGTGTTTTCTATCCTTAACAGGGATATGGACAAAGATGGGATATACAAGGGACCAAGTTTTGAAACTATAGCTGCGTATGGTAGCCATGCAGCAATTGTACACTATCGCCCCACCCATGAAACAGATTGTCAAATATCAACTGACAATATCTTCCTCCTTGACTGTGGCTCCCATTACAAGTATGTTCATATTTTATACAAGTATACTTTTTTGCAATAATCGAGCATGATGTGGTTTGATTTTCAATCTTCCCAACCAGAACCGGAACAACAGATGTGACAAGGACAGTTCACTTTGGAAAGCCTACAGAGGAACAGATTAAGCGTTTCACTGAAGTTCTAAGGGGACATATTGCTCTTGCCACTGTCAAATTTCCCAAAAAAACTTTGGTGAGCTTGCTCCTGTTGCTCACCAGTGTTCAACTTGCTTTTACCTGAATGAACATGAATAAATTTTAATTCTTGAATGGAGTACTGCTCAGTAAGGGTTGGTAAATCTCAGGATGATCCATAAAAACTTACTGACAATTTTGATTATACTTATTCTATTTGTCCACAAAAAGGGGTAATGCAAGTATTCTTTCTTTATTGTAGGGGGTGAGACTGGATTTAGTTGCAAGGAAGTACTTATGGGAGGAAGGGCTGGATTATGGTCATGGAACAGGGCATGGAGTAGGTGCCTTCCTGAATGTTCATGAAGGGCCCATTTTGATCTCATTTAGGGCCAACCCAGCTGATCCTGGCCTTCAAGAGGGAATGTTTGTCACAGATGGTGAGAACAGGGCAATTGTTTTTTTGTGGTTGCAACAGATTTAAGCACCAGTTGAATGCTTTCATTGCAAAGTAATGCTTGTATTCACAGATATTTACACGTGTCTTTTTTTCTTTAGAACCAGGATACTATAAGGAAGGAGAATTTGGTATTCGAATAGAAAATGTAATGGAAGTGAAAAGCTCAAAGAGCAAGGGAGACTTTAATGGGCTTGGCGGACTATGCATGGAACCAGTCACTTGGTGTCCTATTCAGAAGAAGCTCATCCATGTACCTTCTCTCACCAACCATGAGGTTTGTGTTTACTCTCCTTGAACTTTAGCTATATTTTCTCTAAATTTTGCATTAGCTGATGTATATGTTCTCAGGTATCTTGGATCAACAGCTATCATGCCCAATGCCTTGAAGCCTTGAAGCCTTTCCTAGAGATTGAGGATCCTTGTGGGTATCAATGGCTTGTCAATGCAACAAGTCCCCTTTAGGTTTCTATTGCTTGGGTTAGTTTTGGTACAGGTGAGGTAGTGCTCTCAGAAAAGACTGTTAACTTCTCTGGTTCAACAGAAGTCTCCCCTGTACTTTTTTTTGCTTTCTGGCATTTAATATAGTCAGATTTGTTTACCTTTCAAGTATGCTTTTTGTATGGAGGCTATGCAATGAATATTGCCTTTTTCTTTCAAAAACATATTATTTTCACTACTAAATAAAGTGGTGCCAGTATCGCTTGTCTTGTTTCTTTGTTTATTATGTAGCTTGAGGAATGAACCTAATCTAAGCAATATCTGCTTCTCTCCAAGAGAGGATATGAAGGAGATGGGACATTGCTTCCATGAGAAGCAGGAGGTGCTAGGACACCTCATATGTCTCGTGAATCATGTAGATTATGGTAATTTTTGTAGCTCTGTCATTTTCCTGTAAGGCAGGGATCAGCAACTTACAACCTATGAACTGGATTCAGCCTGCAAATAGATTTTGTCTGACCCAGCAAGCACACCAAGGAAAGAGGAGATTTATTTTATATTTCATTTATTCTTTTCAAATCTTCATACTCCCTCCTGTGGGCAGATCAGCACCACAATCAAATATTCATCCTGGCCCACCATAGGGCCGAGTTGTGTTAATCCAGCCCACAATAGTGAAAGGTTGCCAACCCCTGCTGTAAGGAATTGAATAAGCCCTTGTACTCATTGAAGTCTCTTGACAGAAACTGTAGTGTGTGTGTATTCAGGAGGTATGCTTGAGAGCAGTGACAAACTCCCTTTACCTCCTGACCCAATATTCTGCTATCAAGGAGTAGAGTCTGCTTTGCATCATTTATCCTTTTTTGATGATTCCCCTTTCCTGGCTGCAGCCTATCACAATGGAGAAGTTGCTCTATGGGACTTGAACCTAAATCGTCCTGTTCAAAAGTGGAAGGTTTGTTTGTTGATCTCATGCTCAAAAGCCTTGTTTATTGAGAGAACTAGAATTATTTTTTTTTTGCAGAATCACAAGGATGCTGTGTTATGGGTTGGTAACTCAGAAAAGCTTCAAGGAAGCATTTTCAGCCAAGGAAAGTGTGAAGGAGTGTATCACCTTGACATTGAAAAGAACTTAGGTGAAAAAGTGTTTTCATATACCTCCAGTCATCTTGGGTTCTGCAAAGCAGACCTTCATCCCTTGTCCTGTACTCTTGCTCTTCCTTCTGGAGACAATGATGTGGAACTCTTCTGTGTGAAATCCCACTGTCAGTTGAGCAAAATATCTCCAGATCAGGAAGTGGGAATGATTATGTGCCTGAAGTGGATAGATCAAGACAAGTTGTTGATGGGATATGAAAATGGCAGCATTGGCTATTGGAATCAAACTAGTGGCAAGCTTCAACTAGCAAAGCTATCACCTGAACCAATAATGTGCCTGGATTTTGATTTTTTAGCAGGGAGAGGTATTTTTGGTAGTAGTCATAGCAATGTATGTATATTCAATATGAACCTTCAGGTTTTGGAAACAATTGAAATCAAGAATCCTGGTGTGGCTTGTGTTAGGATCCGAGCTGATAGTAAAATCACAGCAGCTGGCTGCTGGGATGGTAGAATACGTGTGTTTGACTGGAATGATTTTCAGCTCATTGCTGTGCTTCCCTTTCACAATTCTACCATTGTGGATATTGAATTTTCTGAACAGCAAGTACCCATTTGGAACTGTTCCAATGTTATGGCTGTAGCCTCATCTGATAGCAGGATCTCACTATGGGATATTTATAATTGAATAGTGTGTTTGTGATTTTATACCCTCATCTGGTGGATGTCCATCTTGAGTTTATTCTCAATTTCTTTATCATGTTCTTTATCTTTATGCCCTGTCTTGTTCATATTTGTGGTTCTATGATCTAATGTGGGTTTTTCCAAGAGACCTAAACAAATTATGCTGAGGACATCCCTTGACTTTGCTTGACCACATGAGGCAAAAAACAAAGGAATAACATAATGACAGGAATTTCTGCCCTAGAGAATTTCTATGGCATGTGACCATTGTCATTTGCATGTCTTTAGGGAGGAGGAGAGTGAGAGAGAGTTAGAAGTCATCAAGTCAAATGTAATAAAATCAGGTGTTGAAAATCTTTAATTGTAGAACCTAGACTCCAAACCACCAAAATCTGACTCAGTCTTATTTATTAGAGAACACATACCATGTCTGCTCTAAATGATACAAGTTTTGCATCACATACTGACTGATTGGGAAGTTAGGAAAATTTATTGTATTAAAGGTCATTGGGAGTTGTAGCTTTGGACAATAATGATGACCATGAAGATGGTTTTATCAAAAATGATTTCCTGCTTTTGTTGAACTTGAAACAAGACTATGTCATCCACACCATGACCAGAATGGTGACCAGATGAAGTCACATGGTACCATAACTCTAAGAGACAAAAAATTAAACTAAGAATTCACTTGAAATTTTGAAAATGCAGTCTTGGCTTGCTAGGATGAAATTGAGACCACATCTTGTTTCATCATTCATATGGTTCTTTTCTATCACATTTTTGTCCACATCAGTATGCAGATATTGAACTGGTCTGCATTTGTGAGCAAATGAAAAGTTTTCACAATTGGAATTTTGGGAGATGAAATGAAACTACTTGACCTATTTGGTACTTGGGATGATAAGTGATGCACTTAATGTCTATTCCCTCCTGGGACCTAGTCTAATATTTAAGCAAGGATATGGAAGACTTGAATGAACAGGTGCAACAAGACTGACTTAAACCTGTGATGGGAGACATGACAAGGCAAAAAATAGAGCCTCGCGTGTTGCAAATGGGGAATAATGGAAATGAAACTGCTTGTCCTGAGACAACTTAACCAAAAGTTAGAGACACTGAAGTGAGGCATTTGACTCGCAATTGCAAAAATGTAAATTGAAACCCCAGGATGGAAGCCACACATTTATAAATCAAGGATCTACCATATTTCATCTTATGGGTAGTCACAGTTGCTTGAACTTTGAGTCCCTTCTTAACAGGTTGGCCGCCATGGGGCACACCTCACTAAGTCCCTTTTCCTGCGCCGTGCTTCACCTTCTCCAAGGGATGTAAAAATTTATTTTGGCCCAGGAAAGTCACTAGGCCAATATGGCCGTGGTTGTCAACATGTTAATAATGCTCAGATTAAGTTGGCAGAAGAGGCAATTAATCACTATCAAATAATCCTGCATTCAGAGGGCATGTAGTAAGAGTGTCACTTCTGTGATCATGACACTGGATGATCACTTTGTTGACTGGTTTCCTCAAGTTTGAACAATATTCAAGTTGATCCAAAGGCACCCTTTTTGGGTGCCTTGGCTTGTCTATGGATGCAAGCCATAATGATTGGATACATTCATGATCATCCATAATCATTGAAATCATAGGAAAACATTGAGAAAACCTATGAATCCAGGTCCAAAAGATAGTTTTCCATTTGATCAAAAGTAACATATGAGAAGCTTAATAAAACTTCAGGAGATGAAGTAAAAGCTGTATTTCATCTGGTTTAGATTATATAAATAATGAGAGTCTCCCTCTACCTCATCTGAAAGCCTGATCAGACTTAGTTCTTCCTCTTACCTATAGAGGTTACACATGAAGAGATTTCTCAAGCAATATGTGACATCCATGCAACGTTGTTGCAACATGATTTGAGCTAAATGACATTGCAGTAATGTTGCATGGACATAATTTAGATGTATGTGTTGCTTGGGTTGAGGGATGATCCAACTTGCTCTGTCTTGAGTTAGTAGAAACAATTGGAGGAAGCTGAAAGTTGGAGCCCTTATTCCTTCATCCCATTAGATAATTTCAAGTGTCAGCAATCACTTCAAACTGCATTTCTTCCTTCTTAGGTCAATGGTAATTAAAGAATGTTTCAGCTAGCTATTAAAATGACACAAATGGAATATGAAGCAGTGATGCAATTTTTAGTTTTAAAAGCATGAATTTAATATGAAGTCAAACCTTGCTATTATAGTGTCCAAGGGATCAGAACAATTATTTATTATTTGGAGGTTTTTATTATACCAAGGGATTTACTGTATCTCCAATATTCTATGAACAATAATTCATTTGGGTTGGTGAGTAAATTCCTCAATATAATAAAAACCTCCAAATAAAAAATTTTTGTTCTGGTCCCTTGGATTTTACATGTAGTATTATGAGGTTTGACCATAAGTTTATTTATTCAAATTAAATTGCACATTCAATGCTCTAAGATAAAAAGGAAAAAATTCTTAGTAAGTAGCAATGCAAATGACAATTAATTCAATGAAGCTAGATAATTTTTAGATAATTATGAAAAGGATTTTTTTCCAATGAGATTTATGCCCTATCCCATTGATGTCCTAGGAAAGTATGTCAAAAATTTTAATTTGTTTCATGAGTCTATTACTTTCCCCTTCATATCTCAGGGCAGAAACTTTTGGATCATCCCTTATACATTGAAACTGTTTTGGGACCTGAATATATAGATCTACTCCTTTCTGAATTTTCATCAGTGGAAAATAAGGCCCAAATGCTGAAACCTCCTTTAGTTAACAGTCCTTTAAAAAATACATGGACTCCTATAGGGGAAAAATAACTCTTTAGCTTAAAGGCCTCTTTATCTCACCTAAATTAGGTTTGTGCATTTTGGCCTTAGAATGCCAAAACTGCATAGAAAAATGGAAAAACTAATCTTGGTTTTTGGAGGGATTTCTGAGATTCAGTCTACAGTTGCTTGTGATATGCAGTAGTAGTGGTTTGTCTGTCGAGATGGGAGACTAGCCCCCCCTGTCTCCTCTAATGAACCATTACCACTGCATATTATCAGCCACCACTGGATTCAGGCATATACAATCAGAAAGAAGTAGTCAGAATGCCCTCATAAGTTACTTAACCTCTTGACTGTCAAGTTTTTGTGCAGGATTGCAGGATTGATTTTGTGCAAGACTCAGTGGTGGGTTTTTCTGAAATGTTGAACTTGTTCAACAGGGAAAAAATAAATCAAAGACTAAGAAACGAATTAAATTTCTGTTTATTTAAATTGAACCAATAATCATTTGCAGTCTCTTTTCATGTTAGAAATTTCTCCCTCAGGCATCCCATGGCACCTAAGAATTCTCAGGTATGACAGTCAAGGGGTTAATCATTGCCCATAAGTATGCTACTCTGTGTTGATTCTCATTTTGCTACAGTGAAGCAATTAAGTCCTTCTAGTACTGCACTGAAAGCTGTATTTTCTGGCAATGGATGAGAATGCCACTGATGCTATATATACATTCATCAATGATGCATAAGTGCCTTTGTTCTTTTTTTCAGCCCCCAGAACCATGTAATAAAGGAAATACATTTTTGAATGATCCTTAAGTAAATAATTTTGCTCATAAGTACTGTGATGGTGTAAACATTTCCATTCCTGAATAGTAGCTGAAGATGATGCAGTCACCATTAAACAAGGTGAGTCCAATTAGGTGAAGCCTCTGATAACTTCTACCTATCACAGAATCCTGTGATCATTTCTATGTCACTAACCCATGTAGACAAAGTGGGTGTATATGATACAGGGTGTTCAGAAAGAAATGCAACCCATTGGAGAATGCATGTTTATTAGTAAGTTACAAAAATTGCTGAATGTGTTGGCCATTATGATTTGCATATAAGTGTACACAACTAATCATCTTATCGAACACTTGTTTTAATGTCTCTTTTGGTATGCCATTTACTATGTGCTGAATGTTGACCTGTAGCTCTTCCAGTGTATAAGGGTGATTTGAATATATAGTGTTCTTTAAAACCCCCCATAAAAAGAAATCAGGTGGGCTAAGGTCTGGAGATCTTGGTGGCCATAATCCTTTTCAAATCAGCTACCCATGAAACACAGACTCTAAATAATCCAACAAGGTGTGGGAAGTGTGGGCAGTTGCATTGTTCTGTTGAAACCATTTTTTAGGGCCTTTATTTTATAGGGAGTCATTTTCAACTATTTCTGCAGTGCCCTATGAGCAGATCCTATGGACATGCTGCTCTGCAAAGAAAGCCTCCTTATGGACTTCTTTGGACTATTGATCATTGCAGCATGAATGTCCACAATCTTTTCTTCCATAAGCACTTTTAGTCTTCTCTTTTAGTCTTCTGCTTTTAAATGCATCCGCAACACTCCCAGTTTTCTTAAATTTATCATAGAGGCATTTGATGCTTGACTTGTTTGGAGTAGTGTCTGCACTGTATTTCTGTTCAAATTCCTCCCTGGTGGCTTCATAACTTTGATTCCTTATGTAACTTTCAATAATGAATATTCTTTCTTGAACTGTGAACACCATTCTTGTACTTAATGATCACTGAAACAGAAAGAAAAGCAATGGGTTACAATGATACATGCATTCTCCAATGGGTTGCATTTCTTTTTGAACACCCTGTATAAGTTATGAGGTTTTAACTGGGTATTGAAGATATCAATGTAGCACTGAAATACATTGTTTCAATAGATGTTTTGGCTTTGCAGGCCCACATGCAAGAAAGACGTTCCATGCATCAATTGAAGGCAGGTGCAATGACTAAATCATTGGAATCATTGCTCAAGTC